CGAGATACTGGCATGAGAAAAATGCAGTGGACTTGCCAGCACTGAGCAGAAAAGCCCAGTGCCTTTAGGCAGGAGACTACTGGCAGAACTAAAAGAGCTTCATAACACATGTCCAAGCAGGTCAAAGGTCAGACTTAAAGGCCCAGGACCAGAGAGGTGTGCTTGAGGGCATGGCCAAAGGGAAGCTGTCCTGATTGAAGAATTGTATTCTGAGTGTTCCTGAACATGAACTATAAGCTGTTACTTCCCTAATGAACCCCATGTGGTAATTAAAGTTATGCTTCAACCTCGCTGGGCCTGGTTTTGAATGGCTGAGCAGCTGGATGTAGTTATTCCCCATGATGAGATTGCTAATCAACTCCTTGGTGGAATCTACTGGAGCTGCCTTATGGATGTGGTTTGCTTCTAGTACATAAGGAGAAATTCTGAGAAAGGTCTCTGCAGCTTTTTGGTACTCTTGGACCTTGCACGTAGCTGAGTCTTCACTCAGCAGGCTGCCATGCCTTGCCGACCACAGGACTTTTTCTGGACTTCAACTAGTGGTCTGCCATGTTGTTTGATAATTTTGGTACTTTACTTATCGACCTTGGGTTTGCCAGCCTCAGTGGCCAGCAGCTGTGTGAACTAAGAAAAGCCTCTGGCTTCAGTGGGCCAGGAGCAAGAGGCAGAGCTGAAGCCCAAGGTGAGGGCTTTCACCCAGCCCTTAGAGCTTGGCACTTTGAACTCAGACTTTCAGCTTCTTAAATTGTAAAGAATATATCTCTGTTCAAGCCATCCCATTTGTGGTATATTTTCTGCTAGAGCAGCAAAAGATGACCAAATCACCCCATAATCACGAGTATTGTCTGGAGTTCAAGAAATTATCGAACCTAACAGAGAAGTAGAGAGTGCCCGTAAAGAGAAACAGTTGGTGTCAGAATTAGCAAAAAGGTTGGAGAGAGTCAGCATGTATGACTTCATAGGAATAAGCTTAGGCTGCTGATGCTGATTCTAATGACTAACTTTATATGGAAAGGAAACAAACCGCAAAGAGCCAAAGTATATTGAAGGAAAAGAACAAAGCAGGGAAGCATCACGCTCCCCGATATCAAAACATACTATACAGCCACTGTAATCAAAACAGCCTGGTATTGGTTCAATGATAAACACACAAACCACTGGAAGAGAACTGAGAACTTAGAATTGAACTTAGAATTAAACCTAGCCCATCTATGGACAAGTGATCTTTAACAAGGGGTCAAAAGTCCTTTCAGTGGTGCAGAAACAGTATTTTAATAGTTCAAGCAAAACTGGATATCTACCTGCAGAAAAATGAAATAGGACCCATACCTCACACCACACAAAGTCAAAATGGATCAAATAAAAGTCAAACCTAAAATTCTTACAATTCTTGGAAGACAACATAGGGAGAAAATGAACAGAAGTCAAAATAAATAGGACCTCATGAAAATTAAAAACTTACACTCATCAAGATGGGAGAACTGTTTATTGTTGGGTTTGTAATTGGTGTCATGAGACAAACTGTATATGAACTGTTGGGATTAAAACAAATCTGCTTTGTAAATATGCATTCAAATCATAATAAATTTTTTTTTAAAAAAACTTATGCTCACCAAAAGATTTGTATTAAAAGAGTAAACAGACAAGCTACAACTGTGAAAAAAAAATCTTCAGATACAATTTATCCAATAAGAGTCCAATCTCTAAAATCTATAGAAAATTGTAACAGATCAACAACAAAAACACAAAAAACCCAATCAAAAAATGAAAAAAAGCCGATGAACAGAACCTTCACCAAGAAGGACATCGAAACAACCAATACATATATGAAAAGATGTTCATGGTCATTAGCCACTGTTGTTATGTGCCGTTGAGTCGGACCCGACTCATAGCGACCCCTCCTTGGGTTTCCAAGGCAGTATCACTACGGAAGTAGATTGCCCTATCTTCCTTCCGAGAAGTGGCTGGTGGGTTTGGATCGCCAGCCTTCTGGTTAGCAGTCAAGTGCCTTAGGCACTAAGCTACCAAAGCTCTCAGCCATTAGAGAGATGCAAATCAAAACTACATTGAGATACCTGTTTTTTTTTTTTTTTTTTTTTAAAAAAAAAAGGTAACAACAAATGTTGGCGAGGATGTGGGGAGACTGGAACCTTTATCCGTTGCTGGTGGGACTGTATAATGATACAACCATTGTGGAAAATAATATGGTGCTTTCTCAAAATACTAGATATAGAACTACCCCTATGATGCAGCAATCCCATTCCTAGGTATATACTCTAGAGACCTAAATAATAATATGAACAGACAAATGCATACCTATGTTCACTGCTGCTTTATTCACCATAGCAAATAAATGGAAACAACCAGTAATAAATGAAGAAAATTACAAATGTTTTCTAAACATGAGGTTTTTTTATTATTATTTATTGTGATTTGGGTGAAGATTTACAGAGCAAATTCACTTTCCATACAGCAGTTCACATATACTTTGTCTCATGTCATT